TTTAAAATCAAAAACTAAATTCGATTTTAAAAAAAATAAAAACAATATATAAAGAAAAGTTGGATTTTTTCTTTGTCATTTTTTATCATCAGATATATGGTCCCTGAGTTCACCTGTATTTTTTAGAAATGAATTTCTGTTTTTTGCAGGGGTATGAGGTGTTTTAGAAAAATAAAGATACAACATTTAAAAATAAATAAACAAAAAACTTAAAAAAAAAAAAGGTTTGATTGGTTGATTGATATTGATTGATTGATTGATTGATTGTGTGTGTGTGTGTGTGTGTGTGTGTGTGTGTGAGAGAGAGAGAGAGAGCGAGAGAGAGAGGGAGCTGCGCGGCGCGGCGCGGCGCGGGGAGCTGCGCACGCACACGGCACGCAAGCCAGAGCAGCAGAATCAGCTCGTCGTTCTCTCGCGGCTTCCTCCGCCGCTGAGATCGCCCTGGCCAAAGCCATCACCGAGTCTAACAGCAAGGGCAAGGGGAAGGTGTTCGTGTTGAAGACCGCTGTGGTCCTGACTAAAGCTCTCCCAATGATTCCCTACCTAGGCCAACTCGTGATACGCGGCGATTGCGGCAAACGGAAGTGCGTCATCGACGGTGCCAAGAAGTTCGGTATCTTTGTAATTTACACTCCAGGCTGTTTGATCAATCTAGAGAATCTAGAGATCAGGCAAGCGAAGGATGGAGCTGTGAGTGGCAAGCGCAACGTAGTCATCAAGAACTGCTTGTTCCGAGCGAACAGAGGAGCCCCCGTCGTTGCTCTCGAGATTGGCGATCCGACGTTCGACATATCGAACACTGTGTTCATCGACAACCAGTCCAACTCCTCTTGCGGCGCGCTCTGTAGCAATTCGCACGGCGGCGGCAAGCTTCAGAACTGCTCTTTTATCCCCAATTCTCGCGCGCGCGCACGAGAGAGAGAGAGAGAGAGAGAGAGAGAGAGAGGTGTGCGCGCGGGCGATTGGCGGCGCAGCATCCGAAGTGCACGCGCGAGCGATTGGCGGCGCAGCATCCGAAGTGCGCGTGCGGGCGATTGGCGCACACGCAAGAGAGAGAGAGAGAACACCTATGTGTGTGTGTGTGTGTGTGTGTGTGTGTGTGCGTGTGTGCGCGCGCTGCCCACGCTGCGCCAGCTGGTGTGTGTGTGTGTGTGTGCGTGCGCCCGTGGTCGTGGGGCGACCCATTCCCCACCAACCAACCAATCAATCAATCAATCAACAACAAAAAAAAAAAAAGCAAAATCGAATAAAAAAATCAATCAATCAATCAATCAAAAGTGGGGCGAGGCGACGCCGCCCCCACCAATCAATCAATCAATCAATCAATCAACGAGGGGGGAAAAAAAAAAAACGCGTTTTTTTTTTTCCCCCATATTCATTGGATTTCGCCCATACCCCCCCCACCAAAAGTTGATCTTCTTTGTTTTTTCTTTGTGGGGGGGGGTGGGGCAGGGGATGCGCCGCCACGTGGCGCCGCCAGAATCTTCAAACCCCCTCCCCTGCGGCCGCCATGTGTCCGCGAATCCGCGCGTCCGCGCACTTGGCCACGGCCGCGGACTTGGCCGCGCCTGTCCGCCGCCGGGGGGGATTCATAGTTCATCGTGTCTTCTTTCTCTTCCACTCGTTCTTCTGCTCCTTTTTCTTGATCATCATCATCTTCTTGGTCTTCGTCTTGCTCCTCTTCAGTTCTTCCTTCTCTTTTTCTCTTCTTGTCTTTCTTCTTGTCATCTCTTCTCCTCTTCTTCCTTCCTGTTTGCTTCATGAACTTCATCAATGAATCAGCATTATTTTTTTTTCCTTTTCAACGGTTCGGCTCTGTTCGCCATAGCCGTCCTCCTCCCTCCTCCAAAGGCTCCCACCCTCCTTCTGCCCTTCTTCCCTTCTTCTTCATCATGTTCTTCTTCCTCCTCTTCTTAATCTCAACAGTTCTTTTTCTTCTTTTCGTCTCTTCATCTACTATTTCTTCCTCTTCTTCTTCTTGCTTCTCCATCAGTCTTTCCTCCCTCCACATAATCTCCCTCTCTCCTTCCTCCGCCGTCTCCTCCTTCCACATCTTCCCGTTGTTCTTCCACCCCCCGCAACACACAGAAACCAACATGGCCGAAAAAAGGAAATGAGGCTAGATTTGGACTGTACTCGGAACGCGCAGCAAGGCCCTGAGACGAAAAAAAAATAAAAAAGTTCAGCGGATTTTTTTCATGCCCATGGTACCCCGGGCGAGGCGCCCGAGGCGCCCAGCCGGGCACGTCCGCCCAGGCTCTCCGGGAAAGCTAGCTGTTGAAACAATTTTTTTTTTTTTTCAAGTAGTTTTCCTGAAAAGATCACGACCTAATACACAGAATCCCAATTTTTTAGATTTTTCTGTTTATTATTTTGAGCGCAAAATATCGCTAAATATAGGGTACTTTTCAATTGTGGTACTGGGCCCCCCGGGTACCAACCATCGCTGCCCTTCCGAAAACCTGGCTCTAACTCACTGGAGGCAGATTTTCGGGCGTCGCGGGAAGTGGTGGTTTAAACCACGACTCCGCCCACCATAATAAAGTAGGGGTAGGGCTACCAGTAGCATAGTGTGGAGAACCGGTAGAGTTGCAAGAGAACCACTAGAGTGGCAACAATGGAATTTGCACCAAATCGGCGCAATGATCTTTTCACTGCCTAAACGTCTTTTATTTATTTTTCTGGTACTTTTCCTCGGATGATCACAATGAAATCTACCAGACCACAACTTTTCAGATTTTTCTGTGCACTATTCTGAGCGTGAAAATTCGCTGAAGTTGTACTTTTTCATTGGCCCACAGGTGGCAGAGTACAGTCTGAAGGCTCTAAGCAATTATATATTAATTAATATTGTTTCCAGAAAGATCACGACCAAATCTATCAGATCTCAAATTTTCAGATTTTTTGGTGTAATTTTCTTTGTGCGAAAAATCATCAAAGTAGGTGTCTTTCTCTTTTTTTCCCGCCGACCGCCACTTGAATAGCCACTGACCTCCAATTCTTCCTCTGCCTACCGACCTCGAAAGGTCCTCAAAAGCCACTTTTTCAACATCAGGGGCAGGAGGTTTAAAACCACCAGAAGTGGACAACCAATTCTGTCCCAAAAACTTGCCCATCGAGTACATATCAAACCAACGATAGAGAGGTTGGTATCTCCACCTGGTACAGGCGGTTTAATTCAAACATTATGTTGGTTGGTTGGAACCCCCCGAAGAATGGATCCCTTAGATTTTCCACAACACATCAGCATGAGAATAAAAATAGACTGGAGCCCCTACACTTCTCAGCAACCTTTCTTTTTCTCTAACTTCGACCAACCTCGGGAAGAGGGCCACCTTTCTTTCTTCTGAAACCAATAAGCAGTGCATTTCACCCAACCTCGGGAAGAGGGTCCTCTTCTTTCTCAGACTCAAAGCAGTTCGGTCTAACTATTGAGATCTTCCTGCCATGGACAGGCCATCAAGAGTCTTCAGTTCTTCATTCTTTCTCAGACTCAAAGCAGTTCGTTCTAACTATTGAGATCTTCCTGCCATGGACAGGCCATCAAGAGTCTTCAGTTCTTCATGCTTGGGGGTCCGAGAAGAAGGCAGCAAAAAGACGCATGGATGAGCCAACAAAGACAGGAAAGCATTCAGAATAAAAGATACATTGTGCAAAAGACGCAAAGAAAAGCACTGAAAAGAAAAAATACCTTGTGCAAGGACAAACTTCAAAACTAGCCAGCCTCCCAAAAAGACAAAAGGTATTACAACCTTTCCTGGGATTTACATTATAAATATGATACAAACTTTGCCTTAAAGCCACCAACACCAGCTGCTACACTGCTGGCAAGTCCCCTCGGTCACTGAGATGATCATGGCCACAGCTCTATAGCATATCTAAGATCAAAATGCCATCCAACTGGTCGACAAATTTCGGCCCCATAATCCTTCAAACATAAATCAAGCCACATACCCAGCATGCCTCTCATCCTTTTTTTACCCCATCTTTCTCTCACTCGGAGAGCAAGAAAGCAAAAAACTGATTCAATGCATGACGCAAACAGGAAAACGAGAGGTCAAAATTGTGCCTCCACGTAGTAGCGCTCAAACGCTGTGATCCGCGCCCAGAGACACCGCCATCCCCTTTCAGTGTCCATGAAATCTTCACCAGCAAACAAACATAATAACACGTCCCACCTGGATTCCTAGGTCCAAACCCCTATCCCATTCTCTTCAGGTGCGTTCAACGCTCCCTCTTGCACGCCCATGCGCCGAGTCCAACACTATCATTATGTGATGGCCTCGCTCCCTTTTCTAAACACCCAAGTCTACACCTCTTTTCACAAAGTGGGCAATTTCAATGCCACCCTAACGACAGAAATCCATGGGAAAACAAATCAACCCCCTGAAGTACAAAATTGCTCCCACCCATCCAACCCTCTTCTCCCCAACCTCCTCAGCCTCAAATTTCAGCAATAAAACACAGGCTAACAAAATGTAGCCACAAAATAGCTATCAGACCAGATGGTACTTGTACATAGATCCATAAGCTCTTTCTATTGCTGCTGCTGGGCATCCTCTGTTCCTAGTTGACCAACGACCTCTTACCTCCGCACCTGCATCTGCACTAAGACGACTCAGATTCCCTCTTCCCAGTTCACCCCTCCTTTACGCTGGAGAGCGCTCAGCACCTGCTTCCTTTCTCCTTCCTCCACAGGTTTGCCGTCAAAAATACTACAACGCTTGGGCCACACCTAGGCACTCGTTCATTCAATAATCTAACAAACTTCCTCTCTCTCTCTCTCTCTCTCTCTCTCTCTCTCTCTCTCTCTCCATTTTGCCAAACGAGTGGTCCCTTGGCACCTGTCATGCATTCCAAAAACATTCTCTCCATTAGTAGCCAGTTACTGAAAATTTCTCAAACATTTTCCCAAAACCAGGCTAGTTGGAACCCGTCATATATATACTAGACGACGTCTGCCAGTCACTGAAACTTTGAAGTTCAAACTTTAAACCCTTTGCGAAAACCACATTTCATTGGGCAGATCCAACAACACAGTGAGAAATTCCGACAAGCCACTCTCTGCCCTGCTATGCTGGATGGCGAACATGACCTGGATGGCAAAAACAACCTGAACTCCATAAAGAATCCACCGAATTATGTGCCCTGTCCATGTCGCCAATACCCCAAAAGAGAGTCCTGAGAGCAGATCACCAATGCTCACTTGGTTGCCTACGAAAACGTACTGCGTCCACGGCAAACGAAGTAGAGAGCAGAGCCAAACCAATCCAAAACCAAACTACACCGAACCCAACAAACTGGGCAATACGAGATGTGGGGCTGAGCAGACTAAGCTTCTTCCTTCTTCAAGCTGCAGAAACCAATCATTTGGGTAACAGTTCTTACCACTGGTAGGCTTCTCGCAGAAAGCTGCGGATGACATCTAAACGTTCTAAACCAGAAACAAAGGTTGTTTCTCTCCACAACTAGTACTCCTCCTTAGGTTTCAATGCTCGCTGACATGAAACAACCTAACGTGGTTGATTGACCACCCCTGTGTGTGCAGTGCTATAATGCAGTGCGGTGCAGTGTACTCTAGGAGAGGATCTGATGATAAACAATGATGCACCCAGGATCGGTGTGCAGGACCAATCCACTTTCCTGAATTATGTATATGATCCACAGTGTGTGAGAGCTGAGACCCTTTTCCATACTATACCTTTCGCACGGCCCTGCCTCCTAGACATAAGAAAGCAGGACGACTCCATAAGATGCACTAAGTGGCAATGGGCAAACGAGATGCTTCAGCCCATGGTCCACAAACCATCTTCTTGTCAAATCTGGTCCACATACTCCAAAACTGGGTGCAAACCGAGCAAATCTTCCCTCTTTCAATCACCTGCCCACCATAGGGAAGGAACATGCGACCTAAGAATAGTCGACAAATCATGCCGAGCACCCTTCCCGCGTGGACATCCTTGGCAGGAAATCCCCCATTCCCATTCCTTCATCCTCTTCCTGGTAGACCGCAGGATCTGAGCATCAGCTACAACATCAGGAACGGCCAGTGCAGGTATTTACACATGCGCCCAGCAATGCATTGCAGAATTTACGCAGTCTACCTCGCCAAGGGTCATGATGGGGTCAATTCCGGCACAGTATCTGCATAGTGCCAGGCCAAAACAAGGCTATAGACACTACTAAAATCAAATCAGAATTCTAGCTGAGGAAAGGCTTCCCTAAAACTGATACCTTATCGGTCTAATGGCTACAGCGCCAATGCGGCTAAACAGATATAGTGGGCAGCGAATAACACAACGCTTCGATACCACTTTCTCGTAACACTTCCAGCAAACAGATCCCTACTGGCTTCGGATACAACCTAGCATAGGTACATGTGCGATGAGATCATCGCAAAGGATCGAGCTACTCCACAACACTATAGCCGTGACCTAATGGTACAGACTGTACAGAACAAATTCGGAAGGCCAAGCCAGGTGACCAACGACAGCCGGCCTGAGCAGAAGCATGTCACCGAGCCCAACACAGCATATTGACAAGATGCTCTCCTCCATAACACTGGGGGAGAATACAGCTTCGCTCCACGGCCTAAAAGAGACATGATGCCTAGAATAGCGCCTGTTTCAACCCTCTTCGTATTCCTTCCCATACCGGTAGAGATACTCCTCATCTCTGCAGCTGGGAGTAATTCAGTGCATTCAACTGCGTTGCCCGAAGAGAGACTTTTTTGCAGTAATATACACAGCGCTGCATGCTCGACCTGGGACATTCACCAAGTCACTGGAAGCTGTCGGCAACATGCATAAACCCGATGCAAATCTATCAACCACGAATGAAACATGACCATGCCATCGGGGCATGCCATAAACTCTATGTCCCCCATCCAAGAACTGAAAGAATGACAGATCCATCAAGGGGAACACTCCCTGCTCTACAGTGCAATCACGACCGCAGATCAGAGAGTAACATTGATTTCTGCCATAAAAAAAACATCCATGACCAGAGACAAAGCAGCATACTATGCCCTGAATAACAGCACACTCATCGACTTAGCACATAAGTAGTGATGCCAATTATGTGAACCTCAGTGGTGAGACCATTCAAGAACAGCCGCCGCACTGGGCCGCAGTGCACAGTTCAGCTGTAACAACGAGTTCACGAGCCTATTGAGCGCTGCAGATCTCTGGCTGGGCAGCTTGATCTCCTCTTGTCTTGCCGCCCACGACCTGTGGATCAATACCATAGCAAAACAAACAAGACCGTCAGTAAACTCCTAATCTAAAATGTACTAAAAACAAGAAAAAATATTAAAAGTCTTGACAAGTCATTTAGACCATACCTTCTTGAATTGGTGCCTCTTTCCACATCTCTTCAGCATTAAAGCACCACTACCTTTTCCCATGTCGGCCTCGGCTGGGCCTCTGATTTTTAGGAGGCTGAAACAAAATGACGGCCACCGATTACATTTCTCAACAGCGACCGTCAGCTCGCCCCACCCCCGATTTTTTGGGAGTAGGCTATTTTCCCGTTTTCCCAACAGTGGGAAAAGTAGTGGTTGTTTAACCTAGTTTCAGGACAGGCCAGGCCAGGCCAGGAACAGGCCAGGGAAGACCAGGTAGAAGATTCCTGACTGTCAAGTCAGGTGCCAAGCCTTACCTTTACAGCGTGGAGGTCAAGTGTTCAAATCACAAGTTTTAGGGAGTCAACAGCAAGCTGAAAGGAGGGCGAATCTGCAACAACCTTGAGTCAAAGCCATTTCCTGAGGAGACTTGAAACTCTGAACCCCCAAAACATCAGCATGTCGGAAGAAAAGAATGATGTTTTCCTTAAGATTTATCTGCTGCAAGGTGTCACTCAGATGGTTGAAAAATGGGACGCTGCCAGGGTTGTCGAGCCCCGGCCCCGGGGTCCCGGCGGGGGTCCCGGGGGCCGGAGGTCGGCACCCCTGGCCCCGTCAAAAAAAGAAAAAAAAAATTAAAAAAAAAATACAGGGGGGTGCGCAGCCGCAGCCTGCACCCCCTGGGCCAAACTGCAATATTGCAGTTTTGGCCCGACCTCAGGCCCCCCCCGGGGCTACACCCCACCCTTATGAGCCCGGGGTAGTGCGGGCGCGGGGCCGGGGGCGGGGCTCAGCGGGGTGCGGGGCCGGGGTTGGCTGGCAGTGGGGGCGGGGGTGCAGGGTCGGGTAGGGGCGGGG